GCAACAACTCCCCCCGCCCCAAAAAAATTTCCAACTCTTCCTCCAGCTGGCACAGCCCACTAATCCAACAAATTAATCTATGCTGTGATAATGGGCATACGGAGTTCATGAGCTTCTCTCTCAATAGCATATTTGCCATTTAATGGAAATGCTAAGAGATTGTTTTTAAAACCAGATAAAAAATGCTAATGGGGGTGGTCCAAGGGCTCTGTTGGCTCATGAATGGCTGTGGAAGTGTTTCTGAGCAAAAGGGCCTTTTTTCTGTGCTCTACAAATTGCATCCATGCAGGGGTCTTATCACCTGTCCCTCCACCCCAACTCACACCCCATAGCTTAGCATTGAGGTATTAGGACTGGAGCTCAGCTGCCTGGGTTCAAATCCAGTTACTGCCACTTACTGAGGTTAGATGTTGAGTCAGTACTTTAACATCCCTGTGCCTCCGTTTTCTGGTCTGCGTGTAAAATGCAAGTAGTAGTATTGGTTTCATATTGTTGTGAGGGCTTAGGTAAAGTATTGTGGGTAAAGTACTCCCAGAACAGCGGCTAGACAAAGTAAACACGCAATAAATAGCCACCATCTTCATCACCCCCCCCTTGCCTGCCTCCTTTGTTCTCCAGACCAAATTCCCCTGCTTTTCCTCCAACCTCTATGCCCACCCAGATGCTTTAAGAGAACAGGAGGTGGGTCAAGATCCCCATGTGGTGATAACCAAGCCAGTTCTTCCAGGCACAGAGGTTGCCAGACCCATGATCTCCTCTCCAGTTGGGGCTGAAGCCTAGGGACATCAAAGCATATGAAGGGGAAGGGGCCCTGACTGGACCAGACTCCAGACAGCCTGGCTCAGCACTTTTCCAGGAGATAAATCTTCTGGTTTCCCCTTGTGGATACCAGGAGCCTAGCGATTGCCGAAGAGCGTGGTGTGTGAGAATAGATGTCTGGGGCCATGATCTGATCCATCCTGTCCCACCCCTGGGTCTGTACCGACCTTCAGGTAGGAGTCAGGGGCTCATCATCAAGCAGAGGCTTCATCTCCTGTACTACTAATTATCATTAGACCTTGTAAGTCTTCTCTGTCTTTCCCTGCCAGCCCACTGCCCCCCCCCATGCCCTGTCTCTCTCTCTCTCTCTCTCTCTCTGGTTATGATTACCTTCAGTCTCATCTACACTCCATAGGCAAAAATGGTGTGTTTGTCAAACTTTGCTGGATATTAGGCTCACCTGAGGTTTTACAATCATCTGACTCTTAGGCTAAATCCCAAAGCCTATCGAGTCAGAACCTCTAAGAATGGGACCCACACATCAGAAAGGAACCTAGTGTGCAGCAGGTGTGAGAACCTGTTCTAGAGTCATGTTTCTCCAGGTTCAGTGTGCGTACACATCACCTGCAGTCTGTTAAAAATGCGGATTCTGATCCGGTGGGCCTGGGGCAGAATCCGAGGTCCTGTGTTTCTGACAGGCTCCCAGATAACTGGTGCTGCTGGTCCACAACCTGGACTTAGTGAGACCATGGGACTGTGGTTCTCGTTTTTTTTTTTTTTTTAGTTGGAGTCTCACTCTGTGGCCCAGACTGGAGTGCAGTGGCCACTCCCTGCCACCGCAGCCTCGACCTGCCGGGCTCCTGCGATCCTTCCGCCTCAGCCTTCCAAGTAGCCGGAACTACAGGCGCGCACTACCATGCTCGGCTAATTTTTGATTTATTGTAGAGATGAGGTCTTGCCAAGTTGCCCGGGCGGGTCTCAAACCCGCGGGCTCAGGCAATCCACTCACCTCAGCCTCCCGAAGACATGGGATTACAGGCTGAGCCACCGAATCCGGCGGGACTGTGGTTCTCAAAGCTGAGCATGCAACAGAATCATGTGGAGGGCTCGTTACAGTTTCAGATTCAGTTGGTCTGGAGTGGGACAGGATAATATACGGCTCCAAGAAGCTCCCAGGTGCTAGTGATGGTGATGGTGCTGGAACACACTTTGAGCAGCAGTGGTGTAGAGGAGGCAACACAGGGAGACCTGGGCCATCTTTTCTGGCTTCATGACATCCCAGCTCTCTGATCTTGGCTAAGTTACCTAACATTTCTGAACTGTCATTTCATCATCTGTAATGTGGCTGTTATTCAAAAGCAATTGGACTAATATAAAATACCCAACAGACAGCCTAGTGTGCTGGTCCTCACACTTAATTGATTACCTGAGAGCCTTTTAAAAGCCACCCATAGTTGTTAATTTAATTTGGTCTGGGGTACTGAGCATCAGGAGATATATAAAATTTTATTTTTAGTATGAGTCTCACTCTGTCACCCAGGCTGGAGTGCAGTGGCATACTCACAGCCACCGCAGCCTTGACCTCCTGGTCTCAGGCAATCCTTCCGCCTCAGCCTTCCAAGTAGCTGGAACCACAGGCATACACCATGACACCTGGCTAATTGCTGGTTTATTGTAGAGACAAGATCTTACCAAGTTGCCTAGGCTGGTCTCAAACTCGGGCTCAGGCAATCCTCTCACCTCTGCCTCCCAAAGTGCTGGGATTACAGGCATAAGTCACAGTGCTCGGCTTGAATATATTTTTTAAGTTACTCTGGTAATTCAGTGCAGCCAGTCCTAGCTACTGGCCTAGAACCATGGCTGCCAAACTGTGGTGTGCATCAGAATCACGGATTCCTGGACTGCACCCAGAACTTCTGACTCAGTAGGTCTGGGGCAGGACTGAGAATTGCATTCCTAACAATTTCTAGGTGGTGCTGGTGCTGTGCTCCAGGGATTACACTGGTCCATGGCTCCCAGTAAATAACCAGGGGCAGAGGCTAATCTTGGTTTGCAGAGGACAGCACGTGTGGAGCACCACCGGCTGTCCCCGGTTTGCACGCTACAAGCCCACTTGGGTCTGGTTGGGGGTAGGACCAGCCCCTGATTGGGGAGGCGGGGGCCTCTTTACAGGGAGGGCAGCAGGAACAGTTGTCTCAGGAAAGGGACCGGGTCGGCCAGGAGCTCAAACGTGACCTGGCAGCCTTGGCCCCAGTGACCCAGAGCCCACCAGCAAGATGAGCGGTTGGAAACCACAAGGAGGCGTTTGGTTCAGCAAACAAGGAAGAACTTTTTTTTTTTTTGAGCTGGAGTCTCACTCTATCGCCCCAGACTGGAGT